ACTATTATTGATCTTGTCAAACAACCAACTTTGTCTTTTTTTTTTTTTCTTTAAGTCTTACTAGAGATTAGTCACTATTATTGATCTTGTCAAACAACCAACTTTTTTTTTTTTTTTTCCTTTTTTTTTTTTTTTTGTCTTTTTTCGTGTCCGGCAATGGATCGCAACCCTCAGTGTTGCGCCCGTACTGGACCGGGACCGGCAACGGGATCGCAACCCTCGGTGTCGCGCCCACACCTCGCTCAGCCAGTGAGCGGGAACCGGTCTGTATGTGGGATCCGAACCCTCGGTGGGAGCGCCGCCGCGCTCCCAAGCGGCGCACTGTAGCAGTGTGCCACCGGGCCGGCCCCAGAAATCACAAACTTATACATTAATGGCACACATAAAATTCCATGTGAAATTCAAGTCAAGTTACAGCCAGGTCTCAATCCTTTAAAGATATTTAAAGCTAGAGAAAAAAATCACGCATATATGTGTGTATGTAAACATATTTATGTCTATACATACACACATACATACACGTAGGAGGGTACCTTCAAAGAGTTCATGGAAAGATTTGTATAATCTTTTACTTCAATTTCTCCATGAACTTTCTGAAGTAACCTCATACATATATGCTCAATATTTAATTTTTAAAAATTTAAAGAGAATAAACAATGAAGTCAGTTAAGATTGCCTGTTATTTAGAATCAAAATGGTAAATAAAGCACATCTCCCCTGGTCCCACTTCCTAGCAGATCCTATCAAGACTTCACAGACTCTTTCACAGGACCGAATGCCTCTGTTTAAATATATTTTCCCCCCTCTTGCATCAGGGATTCCTAAGTGAAAAACAAGGTCCGAAAAAAATCGACTTATTAAAAGCATACATCCTCAAGTTCTTCGTGAAGACAAAATTCCCAGGTATCAAGGACATATAAAATAGCATATTTTTTAAAATAAACTTTTATTTTGGAATTAAGTTTCTGTAAACAGAAAAGGTGCAAAGAGAGTACAATGTTCCCCATATACCCTTCACCCAGTTTCCCCTAAAGTTGACATCTTATGCAACCACGGTACATCTGTCAAAACTAAGAAATTAACACTGTACATTACTATTAACTAAACTACACACTTTACTCAGATTTCACCAGGTACTCCACTAACATCCCTTTTCTGTTCCAAGATCCAAACAACACTGCATCAAGTCTCCCTAGTTTCTCTGACTTTAACAGATTCTCAGACTCTCCTTATTTTTCATCACTGGACAGTTCTGAATGACGGTGATCAGGTATTTTGTAGAATGTCCCTCAGCTGGGTCTGCTGGCTATCTTCTCATGATCAGAGTGGGATCATGGATTTTTAGGAAGAATACAGAAGTGAAGTGATTTTTCACTGTATCATATCAGGGAATCCAGGGTATCGACATGACTTTGGTCACTTGGTTAAGGTAGTGTCACCAGGTTTCTCCACTGTACAGTTACTATTTCCCTCTTGCTGTAATCTATTCTATTCTTTGGAAGTGAATCACTAAATCCAGTCCAGAATTAAAGGGAGAATTCAGTTACACTTCCTGTAGGGAAGAGTATGTACTACATATTATTTAGAATTCTCTGGCTAGAAGCATCCCTTCCTCTCATTTATTCAATCAATAATTTATATCACTATGGACTCATACAAGTTTAATACTTTTGTGTTATAATACTAAAATAGCATTCTTATATAAAAGCATCACATTTCCAGTGATCTTTCATAAACAAATAGGTGTAGACGAAATTTTTTAAAATAGTGTATAAAGCCATTTTACAAAGGAGTTCAAAACAACTCAGAGAAAACAGCGACCCTCTAGCCTGGTCATCTCTGTCTTGTTACGGAAAAACATAACAGCTGCCCCTAGGGCTGTCCTTCTCAAAGCTGAAGGGTAAACAGAAAAACTGTGAACTTTATAGTAAGTTGTAATCTATTATTTCTTCTTGGCCCTTGTAATCTTGTTTATAACTCTCTTGCAGTTGAGTTATATGTGTTTTCTATGTGGTATTTAGTTTATGTATATTCATACAATACAGATAGACAGGTAGGAGCCTAGCCTCCATATTTTGAGAGGTAAATATTTGTTCTAAATTTACCACCTAAAGATGAAGAGGATGACAACACCCCATATCCAGATAAAGAAACCCCAATATGTTTATTATACTTTCAGAAAGGAAGAAATTAATTTGTGGTTCCTAGTAGTGTTACAGGAAGAAAACTAAAAAACAAAACAAATTTAACTAAAAAAATGGGGCAGATTTTAAAAACATATTAAGCTTAAGAAAATCAACGTGATAAAATCTGTGACTTAAAAGGTTGAATAAAATTTTTTCAATAGCATGAACACAGAACACAGAAGTACTAGAATACATGATTTCCATGCAGTGCTTTGGGACAAAGCAGGTAGGAAAGAACTTAAAAGTTTAGTAAGTACAACAAATTTTAAAAAAAATCAAATCCTCATGCTCTACAGTAGTGATATTTTTTCCCTGGAGTTTTTGGCCCAAAGGAGGAAGTATGTGAGAATAATTAAACTCCATGAAATTGCACACAAGATTATGTACATATACACACTTTTCAGAGAAGGGGATTATCAGAATCTCAGCAAGATCTGTTCCTTCCAAAACTACTGCTCTGTGGTGTTTCCCTATATTGCCAACACCAATAACTAAATCGTTCTAGAAGTCGTAAAGCCCCTGTGTGTTCCTCTTGCCACAAAAGCAGAGGGCTGCTGCAGGAAACACGATGCTACCAAGTTTCCTTTGTGGGAATGCAGCTTTAACAAGATCCAACTTCTTACCAATACACTGTTAAAACGTAACCTATTTATGAGTGAACCCGGTGTTATTCAAACGCTTGCACTGGAGACCCATGGTCAACAGGTCAGTCAGCTGTCCCTTCTCCACCCTTTCCATGTTTCCTGAGCACTCCTGCTTCATCAGCACCATGATGAAGAGGTGCTGCACCTGTCACAAGTGCATGATGGGCCAGCCCGGGGGCCACAGTTTCATCTACCTCCAGGAGGCGCTGCAGGACTCGAGGGCTCACCAACAGCTGCTGGCCAACGCCCAGCAGGGCCACCAGACAATCCAGAGCAGGTAACCTGCAGACACTGCTGTGTGCCATGATGAAGAGTTGAACACAGTCACCGTCTACTATCTTATCTGAGCATGGAGCAGTCCCAGACAGGGGCAGAACACGTGGAGAAGGCGACAAAGGTTGCACAGTCAAAGTCATGACCGCAAGGCACAGGAAGACCCTGGAGGAGCACAAGTGCCAGCTGCCACAGAAGGCAGAGGAGACCCACTGGGGGAAGCAAAGTCTGTGTCTGCCAGGGAAGGAGCTGCAGCACAACCTCAGCAAGCTCAAGAGCAGTATCAGGGCCACCCAGCGGGTCCAGGTGCAGGAGCTGAAGACGATATGGAGCCTCCTGCAGCGCCAGGGTGATGACTGAATCACGGCCACACCCCTGACCAGGCGCTGTAACTAGGCTTTGTTAGGAGTGGGGCCTCTGCACAGCTCACCAAGGCAGGCAATGGGCTCAAACAGGCCCTCCAGGGTAAGGTGGGCACTGGGCTTCTGGGCCTGAGCTTTGACAGTGAAGATGACAGCCATGGCAAGCTCAGCCACCCTTGGGGTGTGAGTATAGACAAGAAGAACTCCATCGCTGTCACCGAGTGTAGCGACAACTGCATCCAGGTGTTCAAGCCCTGTGCTTGAACCACAAATCCAGCCTCCTGGGTTCCTGTCTCAGACAGTTCAACCAACCAGCTCCAGTGGCCTGGAGGCAGGATCATGGTGGCTGACGGCAACAATCACCGCATCCAGATCTTCACCTTCAAGGGCCAGTGGCCCCTCAAGTTTGGTAAGAAAGGAACCAAGAATGGGTAGTTCAACTATCACTGGGATGTGGTGGTGAATTCTGAGAGCAAGATCCTGGTCTTGGACAAGCAGAACCACTGGATCTAGCTGTTTGGGCCTCATGGCTTCTTCCTAAATAAGTATGGCTTTGAGGGGGTCCTCTGGAAGCACTCTGACTCCCCGCAGGCGGTGGCCTTCAATCCTGAGGGCCACTTGGTGGTCACTGGCTTGATTCCAGATATCACCAGGTCCAGATGTTTGAATCCAATGGCAGCTTCCTGTGTAAGTCTGGTGCTCAAAGCACACAAGTGGACTTTGGCAACAATCAAATCCCCATGTTCTAATTGCATTTTCTAGGTTTCGGTGTTTGGGGTGTGTATCTCTCTCTCTCTTTGAATTTCAAAGAGGAAACAGTGCAAGGAAATGTTTTTCTTTCTTAAAGAGAACAAGAAATGTGTAACATTGCTTAAGGCCCACCTCATGGCCTCTCTACTTATTCATTTTTTACAGGTGAATGTACTTATCTTTCCTGCAGAGTGAAGTGACCATTTCTATCTACCTCATAAATTTTTCTTTTCCGTCTCCAACAGGCCTTCTGCCGCTCCTTGGCGGTGTTCGCATCACCCTCTTCCCCTTTGTGGAATGGGATACACACAAGCCTAGCACCTGGATGGCTGGAAGGGCACTGGACGTGTGTGGTGGGATGTATTCTGTAGACTGAGCCAAGGAAACACAACAAAAGTGCTATATTTTTGCGATGTGGAGGAATTAAGGATAATTCAGAGAAAGGCAAAAGAAGATTAAAGAGAAAGAGAGTAAAAGTTAAATGACTCTGAAGTCATTTAAGTTAAAAAGACCTGGGAAACACTGCAATGATGAAAAGCTAAAGCAAAATGAAAGTAAGATTAATTGTGGTTAATCAAAGCTGGAGGTGTGGTACTATTTTCCAGCATTCTCCTGTAGTGGTAACTTCTAATCTTTTTATAAGTAAAGAGACCCATTACATTGGGGGGTGAGGGTGGGAGAGATTATGCTACATCTCACAAAGAAAACTACACAAAATAATATAAAGATATTACTCAGATTTAAGAGATGTTAACATTTTCCTAAAACTGCTTTCTTTCTTTTGAAGTAAAGCTTTTCAGGTATAGCTCAAGTCCTACTTCTCCCATCCTTTCCTCATCCCATCATACCCAGAACACAACAGTTTATAAAATTCCCAGACCTGTTTTATCCTCACATTGGACTCTGATTTTAAGCACTATTTTTAGTGCACACACACAAAAATGTAGCACCCAATTAGTTGTATTTTATTAACAAAAGATAAAAATCTACAATGTATTTAATAATTTGTAATTATTAATAAATGATTTTTCAAATTTATGTACTAAATGTATTTGGGTGACACTGTTGATTCTGTCTACAGATAAAAACTACACAGATTCACAGACCCCAGACCCAATCACTGGATCCCAGCATCTCTCCCTCCACAGAGCCTTCGTGGTGTTCAGTGTCTAGAAAGGCTTACCTGGTGATGTGGTGTTGCCAAAGGAGTGTGTGGAAGCCTCTATGGAAGAGCAGGGGGACATTACAGAAGTGAAAGATGGTTAAGATTTAATCGACACGTGAGCTGAAATGGGATTTGCTTCCAAGTAATGCTAGGGGGGGAGGGAAGGAGCAGTACCTGAGAAACCACCTGGCCGTGAACTGAGAACTGTGGGGACTTGGGACGGGCACGCCAGGCTTCATTACATCTTCTCTCTACTCTCTCCCTCAGCTTATACTTCAACACTTTCCCTCTATAAAATGTAAAACGATTTAGCCTCGAAGAAATGAACATAATCACTAGGAATAAATTTTCCAATACATGAAATGTGTACCACACCTCCTAGGGACATTTACTTCTAAAAGGAGAAATTATATAAATGGTATGATTGTGTATTATTTGATGTCAAAGAAAAGAGCAATATCTGAAGTGCTATTTTTTTCCTTTCATTTTTCAAGTGCTATTTTGAAATAGCCTGGTTCCCCACACAAATTAAAACTGAACAGAGATTAGAAGCCAATGTATGACAGAAGTAAACACAGTTCCTCCATCTATGTGCCCTGGGTTACAAGGATTCAAGGGTTATTTCCTTTTATTTTTTTTTTTAGTAAGGAGAAGGGAGGGGAATGAAGTTTAAGTGAAAGGAGAGGGGCAGAGGCACGAATTTCAACGGGCTGGCTGGGAAGAGCTTTGATGATCAAAAAAACAGGCCCCTAAAAGAAGACAAACTTACGGTGTCAAGTCAACGGCATCGTTTTATGGACTGTTTCTCAGAACTCAATAATATAGTGGGCTATGAGGCATAAATTATATGAAAGGGGCACTTAAGATCTTCCACCATGTCACCCCATAAGTCACTTGAGTCCACATTATGCAAATGGTAAAGAATGGTAAGATCTAGGTGCTAGAATTTGATTTTATTAGTAGGGAGAGGATGAGAAAATATGCGGTTCCCCCAACATGTGTCAGCTTCAAAAAAGTTTTAATCTAACGTTTTTATATACTATTAGCTACCTAGAACCTAAAGTAACTCCTCAAACACTCTAATGATTCTCCTTAGTCCCAAGACCCCAAGGGCTAAACCAAGCCACAAAATAACTCACGGGGGAAAAAAATTAGAAGAACAAAAAGAAATCACCAACTCTTAACTTGTTATAAAGTACTTCGAATTCTGGTGGAGTCATTACACAATCACACTCCTCACTTAATAACTTTCTCCTAGACAAGTAAAAGAATATGAGAAAAATCCTCCTCCAGCCACATGGTTTTTTGGGCAGACGGCAATATGCTGACGGGGTCAGGTAAGAGGAGTGTTCCTAGAGGGTGTCTCCAAACAGAGACCATTCGCTGGCAGAGCATCTTGTATGCACAGTCAGAAGTAACTCTGTGTACAGTGTGGGTACACTTCAACAGGAGGAAAACAGGAGATTGACATTTACTGAGCACTCACACCCATTATGCATGTGAGGAGCTATCATACTCAATACTCACAATGATACAATAGATATATGATACAGACACTACCTCTGGCTTGCTGATGAGGAAAATTCATCTCAGCCTTAGGCACCTGCCCAAGGCCACTAAGCTGAGAAGTGGTAGAGAGAGGACCTGACCTAAATCCTATAGTGCAGCAGCCCTCTCTTTTCACTACAAAGTGGATGTGTGCTAAACAAAAATGAGTGCCTGAGAATCTTCTAGAGGATCTAAAACTGCAAGTAGACAATAAAAAAGAGAAAGTAGTAGAGTTTACATTCTGTATAGGGAAAAAATTTTTCCTTATGTCTATTCAGAGATGCCTCTTTTTTTTTTTTTTTTTTTTTTTTTTTTTACCGGTAAGGGAATCGCAACCCTCAGCATGGTGTTGTCTGTACCACACTCAGCCAGTGAGCACACTGGCCATCCCTATATAGGATCCGAACCCACGACCTCAGCGCTCCCAGCGCTGCACTCTCCCGAATTAGCCATGGGGCCAGCCCCAGAGATGTCTCTTAACGATGATTCCTCTTGGAAAAGGGGAGAGTATCCTCTGGGATATGTGCACACAGTGGCACACAGTGGGCATGTGAAAAGAAAAACATGTACACTTACCATTGGTAGACAATAAAAACTGAGCAGCATTTTTCTGGGGTAACCACCTAATTTTGTTGATCTTCTCTTCTATTTCTAAACTTTTCAAGTAGTCGAACTCTGGTTCATGGCTCTGGAAGGTGCTGTAAACATTATATTCTCCTCTGCTATGAGACTGGATTTTGTTCTAAAATGGAAACAAAAATATTTGGAGCACTGTTTAGAAATATTTAAGAATAATCAAACATGTCATGAACCCAACAGACCCTGCAAATTCTAGATGACTCATCAGTTATATCTTACAGACAACTATACTGTTTTTTTTTATATTCAAAGACCTTCAAGAAATAAATAGGAAAGCTTAAAAAAGAAAAGCTAAATAAAGCTCAATAAATAAGTTCAATTCAATAATAACATTAAAATACGGATCCATTCGATTACTAATTTACTATTATAAATAATACAGATTTAAAAAAAGCAAGCATCCGTAAGGAGTGACCTCACTGAAGAAGTAAAGATTAAAGAAAAGCACACTCGGAAGCAGCTGGCTGGGCATGCCTTCTTCCTCTGCCCACCTTAGGGTCGACTCCCGGTCTGTTAAGTTATAGGATGTATTGTCCTCCTTTTCCTTTCTGATGTCTGCCCTTTGGTTATTTCACTGCTGAAAATCTCTTCTCAAGAGCTCTCATGAATGCAATGACCCCATTTGACCTCTACTCCCACCCCAAGACCACTGTTACTGGAGAACTCTATTGCTGATCAAGACCACATTCAGCATAACCAAGCAATGTTCCCATGCACCCCCACCAACAATGCTTACCCCCTCCTTAAATCAGCCACCTTATGGTATGAGTCTTGCACACACTGATAATTTATTACACTTAATATTAGTTTGAAAGAATGTAATTTAAGCTATTGGATAAAAATAATACATGTGAACTTCTTCAGTTAATACTAATACCTAAGCAAAAGTGAGAATTATAATCATGCTCAGAATTTCATCTTTTGATCTACTATCACATTAAACACCTTTTCATCAAAAACATTAAGTCTAGTTCAAGAAAGATCCTATGGAAAAATGGTTTAAATAAAAAATATAATTATATATTACTGACAGTCAACTATTTTAGTGAGTTATCAAGTGAAGCATTTGGGATTATTTGGTGATATGAACAGCCTATTATTCTCCATATCAAAAGAAAACCTCACTGAATCATCTTGAAGGTATGTGTTCTGGGTTGTGTTTTCCAGTAGCTTGGTAATCTGGACTGTTCACTCATGGATACAGTTATATTTGAACCCTTTGATAGCAATATCAATTATTACTGATTTTGGCAACGGTAAGTATGCAGAGTGTACCGCAGCCATAATCCATACTGGGGATATACAGGGGGTAAAAACCAAACTCAAGAGCCTTGGTCTCATTTTCATACACGTACACCGTATTAGATAACCTAATCCATCAAACACATATATTTGAATAACACTTGAGAAGAAATTCTATAAAGCTTCTATCTAAAATCACTCACCCAGTTTGACAAAGTTAATTATACTCTCCAAGAAAACTATGATAATCTAAACAGCAACTGAATTTTTAATATGAATGCTGCATTTTAAACTTTGTTTTTTCATTTAATACTTAAAGAAGAAACTACAGCATATAGCACTATGAACACTAGGTCCTGGAGAGACAGATTTAATAACAGAGAGTCCCCACCTTTAAGTGACTTGTGTATGCACAATGCTAGTCACTGGATGATGAGTGCAGGAAGCACAGACCTACGAAAACATCTTCTGAAGCAGATGAGAGCACCACCCTGCAGGCTCAAGAATGACAACATGAATCTAAGCGTGGCCTGTGACATGATCCAAAACCAAAATCACGAGGTGTCTGGCAGTCTCCACGGACTGCAAAAAAGACTATCTCTTTCAACAGGAAAAACTATATCACACAAGGAAAAAATTACGTCTATAATTAAAAGATGCCAGACTGAGCACAAGCATTATTAGCCTGTCCTCTCTCCTGAAATTCCACTAAAATAATAGTAAAAGAATGTTTAAAGACAAATCTTCAAGACAATGAGATGACAGTAACGAAGGAGAAAAGGCTGAGACAGGTGCATGTGAGTGGTAACCCAAAGCAGACTGCAGAACCGAGCCTTGGCCCACAGAGAAACTTTCCGTAATACCTGGGGATTATAACAACCACGACAGCACTCTTTGCATGAACCAAGTCCAGGAAGCAAATCTGAAGAGAAAGAAACAATCCCAAATCCTCAATACTGTGCCACTCAAAGGAGAATGCATCCAAGTCAAAGAAGACTTTCTTTTGTTTTAACCTCCCCACTAAGGCCATAGAGAACTGTGACACATTCTTGAGTACGTGGCATTTGGGTGTTCTTGCAGAGCTTTTCCACCTCCCTCATTTTTTCTTGGTTTGCCAGTATGATCACCATGAGAACCTATTTTCATAACCATACAATCTGTGTGAAATTTTCTACAATAAATGTAGAAGTGCTTTATCCACAGCACCTACAGTAGTGCCTGGCATACAACAGGCATTCAATAAAGACTGTCTAAATGAACAGTAACAGCAAAAGGCATGAATAAAAGGCAGTGCTGGTGTGGAAAAGGGAGGTTGAAGTTAACTTGGTAAATGCAGTATGGCATGGAAATTAGAAGGAATAGGTTAGACACACAAACAGCAACACAGAAGGATTTAGAAAACATAGTTCTTAGTGAACTTAAAAAAAAGCCTACAAATCTCTCAGAATGAGATGGCATACTTAACACACATTAAAAACAGTACACAGAAACAAAATTACACATTTCAACGCAGATGCAAACAGCATCCACAATATATAAGTGATAATATATCATAACCAAGTTTTAAAGTAAAGTGAAGAATCCCGTGGTGATGGCACAAGGTCAGACAAGCACACCACTGAAGAAGAGCAGACGCAGCCCAGTGGCACACGCGGATTATGACGAAGGCAGCCTTTGCTGTGCAACGGGGAAAGGAGGTCTTTTCACTAAATGGTGTCAGGTCAACTGGCTAATCATATGAAGTAAAATGAAGCTTGACCCCCCCACCTGAAATCACTCACATAGATTGATTCCTGGTGAATCAGAAACATAAGTGTGAATGTATACAATTAGTTCTAGGACAACACCATCCAATGGCACGTTTTTGCAAAGAAAACAATCTGCATGTGTGCGGTCAAATATGGTAGCCACGGGTCACAGGCTGAGCACCTGAAACGTGGCTACTGTGACTAAGGAAGCGAATTTTTAATTTTACTTATTTTTAATTAATTTACATTTAAGTGGATTTGGGGGCTACCACACTAAAACCGTGCAGTTGTAAAAAATAATGGGAATATCTTCCTGGACCTTGGGGTAAAAAAGTATTTCTTACACAGGACAGAAAAAGCTGAAACCTTAGGGAAAATACTGACTAACTGTACTGTATTAATATTAATAACCTTTATCTATAAAAATACACCATTCAGAAAATGAAAAGGCAAATCATGGAATGAAAGATACTTCCAACTGAACAAAACTCATATGCAAAAAGTGTAAAGAAAGCCTACAAATCAATTAAAACAAATAACAGACAACCCAGTAGAAAAATTACAAAGGATTTTAATAGGTATTTCACAAAAGATGATATCCAAATAGCTGACAAATACATTTAAAAGATGCTTTACCTCAATGTTAATCAAGAAAGTACAAATTAAAACAGCAATATGATTCACTCATACCCCCAGAATGTCTGAAGTTTAAAAAGACTGATAATACAAAGCATTATTATTGACAAAGATGCAGAACAGCCAAAATTTCATATACTGCTCATCAGAGTAAAAATTAGCAAAACCACTTTTTACCATACCGTCATGTCTACTAAAACTGAATGCTTCCCCTACGACACAATTTCACTCATGACTATGTGCACCAGAAAACAGGAACAAGAATATTCGTCGCAGTATTATTCTTAATAGCCACAATCTGAAACAACTGAAATGTCTGCCTTCTACAACATAATGGATAAACAAATAGGGGTACAATAATACATAACAACATTATACAGCAACAAAAATAAGCAAATTATATCTACACAAACATACTGAGCAAAAGCCAGACACAGAAGAATACTTACTGTATGATTCCATTTATAAAAAGTTCTAAAACGACCAGCCAAACTAACTGCAAGAAGGCTCAGAACAGCAGGAATGGAAAGAGACGGGCTCACGGGAGGTTAGCAAGTCCTACTTCTCAACCTAGTAGTTTGCTAGGTGATAATCCACTAGTGTTCTCTGCACTTTTCTGTGCATATTAAATATAGATTTAAAAAATACACCACACAAATAGTGCAGCCACTACAGAAAACACTATGAAGGCTCCTAAAAAAAAATTAAAAAGCAACCTTGCTTGTGGATTTTATCCAAAAGAATTGAAAATAGGACCTCAGAGAGTTATCTGTATACCCAAAAGGTGGAAGCAACCCAAGCATTCATCGATGGAAGAATGGATAAAGAAAATGTATATCATCTATACAATGGAATATTATTCAGCCTTAAGAAGAAAATCCTGTCATGCTACAACACGGATGAACCTTGAGGACATTATGCTGAGTGAAATAAGCCAGTCACAAAAAGACAAATATTGCATGATTCCACTTCTATCAAGTAGACAAATTCACAGCAACAGAAAGTAGAATGGGGGTGCCAGGAGCTGGGAAAGTGGAAGGTGGGGAGTTGTTCAAGCGAGAATAGAGTTGCTGTCATGCCAGACTGGGGGATGTCCTGGGAATCTGTCGTACAACAATGTGCACTGGGTTGACAGTCACATAATGTATACTTGGAAACTGTTGGAAGGGTGAAATTTAGGTGTTTTTTGGCTATAATACACAGCACACAATAATAATATTCGTATTACAAGAACATGTTCTAATGGTCACCTATGTAGAAAGAGGTAAATGAGATTAAGTTACGCAAATGGAAGGGAGTGTGTGTGCGGCGGCATACCTCTGTGCATGCGTCTGTTTAAAGGGAGGGCTTTGCCATGACCCATAATGGTAACGTGTCATGAACTCAAGAATGCTCCTAAGAATCAAACAAACCAAAATATAAAACAACAGTCAAATCCAATGGTGTTAGAATGACCCCATTTGGAAAGAAGAGTTGG